CCAATTGGTACTACATGTACTACATGTACTACTTCTACTACACAATAATAGTTATGCAAATCAAATGCTAGCCTATACTGCACCCAATTGAAACCATGAAAGAGAAATGCGACCAAAGAAATCCAAGAAGAAAATTCCAAAAATGAAGGAAATGCCAAGTAATTCATTGGTAACCTTCATTGATTCTGTATTTGGCTATACATTATGGTGCATATACATATGGAACTGCAGCACAGGGTAATTTACATGGCAAAGCAACCACCACTTCTTCTAACAACAACCGTTTTAACTGCCGGAGCATCCTTCGAAAACCCAACGACTTCCGATCTCCTCTGAGCCGAGGGCCTCGGAAGGTTCTCAGGCACAATGGTCTCCAGAGAATTGGGGATCCACGGCGGGCACATTCTTTTCTCACTCCATTTTGTAACCCTCTGATCACTTGATTCTGTCACCAATGGCAAGGGCATGCCTTTGGCAATGGCATCCAAGCTGCCCATTTCCAACCCAATCATGATGCCGGCTGTCATGCCTAACACACATCGTTTTGTCCATGATCCATCATTTGTGTTCCTGCACACACAAGTATTTACCATAATTAGACACCAACGTAGCCCTTTCAAAACTTTCAATTGGGCCATTAGACACCAACATAACACGCGTCTTAATTTTATAAGACCGCGCAAATTCTTTTCAAGAAAGTGCAAATATGAGGCATATAAGAAAGTTGGGTTTAATTACATACGATGCAAGTACTTGATTTGGTTTTGAAGGCAAAGAAGGGCTTGAGCCAAGGGTTTGAGTTGGCGGCGGCGGATTGAGGCAGCAATTGAAGTTTGTAATTGCCATCTCTCTCTCTTCTTTCCCTCTTGATTTAAGCAGAAAAAGGAGAGAGGGAGGGATGATATATAGAAAAAGAGGAAGGTGTGTTTGGTTTGGTTGCATAGAGCAAGACAAGGACCCCAACGCAACGGTGACCCTCTAGAATAGAAAAGGCCACGTGGGGTTGGACCCTCCATCAAACACTTAGCATTTCTCTGTTTTTGCTTGCCGTCTGGTACCATTTTCTCTTGGAGAGACGCGTGTTGGAATGAGTTTCCTGTTAATAAAATCATCAGTTAGCGTATTTCCAAGAAAGATGGTGACACACACAGGAAGCTCATTCAAAATTCATATTGAATTTCACTACTCGATTAGAGTAACCTCAATTTCTATTTTTTATTATTTTATGTTCACGTGGCAATTTGATATCTCCTTTTAAGATGCTATAATAGAAGAAAGAAAGAATCTGTATTAATATTGTCGCTATCTCCCTGCAGATACACCCAAAAACTCAACGAAAACTACTCAAAAGCATGCAAAGGCAGCTTTGAATGGTTCCAATGCGTCTCACTTTCAGACAATAATCACGCCTCTGCTCTGCATCTGTGATTAGTTCAAGTTTGAACGTCAGAAACAATAGTTGGCACTTGCTTCGACTCCACCTCATTAGGACTTCAGACCAATCAACACATGCCTACCCGTTTACCATCACTTTCACCTATCACCTAAATTTTGTTATCTTTCATCATTCATATAATATTATACGTGACTCACCTAAACTTTTCTCCAATTTTGTCTACCAAATAATATACGTGCATACACGATCTAAATCGTTTGCTTTTCAAGTCAACGTAATTATTTCAAGAAACAATAAAAATGATCATACATGAAAAATTTGACAGTTCAATAAAAGGAAAAGACCTAAAATTTAAAAAATAATAATTAAGGTAGTTATAATAAAAAGGACGCCATCATTTTAATCTGTACCATCATGTTAACTTTAAGCTTTCTTCATTTTAAAGGATTATTTTTAGATATTTATTTCTTAAAAATATCTATTACCTCGAAAGATGAACAAAGCATGTGACTTTAAGAAGTCGGAAGTCAAACGCATCTGGGGTCTCAATGCGACGTCGTTTGGCTTTCCCCTAAGAAACCGACCAGTTAAATCTTAGCATTCAGCGAAAACCAGTGTCTTCGTGTAGATCGCCCAAAATCTCTCGTTCTCTCAGTCTGTTAGATCACAGGGCATCGCTTTCACTACGATTTCGTCGCTTTCTAAAACCCTAAATCTCATTTCTCTCTCTGCAAAACCCTACTGTTCAATTTGCACTTCCCTGGAACCATAAATGCCATCTTTTTCAATGTCTGCACCTGCAAAACCCTAAATTCCCAAATCCAATCTCCTCTCAATTCGCCCTGAAAAGCCTTGAAATAGTCAAATCGAATCCCTTTTCGTTTTAAAAGTGCTAATCCCCAGCTGAGTCAACTAATCATTCATCAGCTCCTTAATCCCAATACATTTCTCCACTCCAAACCCTAATTTTTCATTTTCTGTTTCCTTTGTTCAATTCAGCATCGATCCACATTGCTAAAGTCCCATTCTTTGAGTTCAACAGAATCAGTAATTAACTCACTGAGTTACATTCTGAGCAAATTTTCAAAATTGACATTTATGGTGTGGTGGGTTTGTGGCAAAGGATGTGATGGTTGAGAACTATGGAGGGAAGTAAAGTTGAAAATGGAAGCTCAAGCGAGGGCCGGCCTCCCAACCCTCTCGCCGGGGCGTACTGGCAGTGCTTTAGCCACAATGACGGCGTTCCTGTGCTTTGCAAGAAATCGCTTGTTCGACACCCATCTCTTGTATGTGTCATTATGAGCTTATGCGTTTTTGCCATTTTGTCATAATAGCACTATATATATATATATATATATATTTACGTAGTATTGGTTTCTTAGCTGTTTATGACAGTACTGATGCAAACAGTTAGAAAATTTGTAAGTCTAGCCGCACTGTAATTTTGGGCAATCAGAATTATGAGTGTCAATACGTGATGACATAAACTTGAAATGCGAGCATTAGAAGTTGAATTATTAAAGGCTTTGGTGTGCAATTATTAAAGGTCTGAATGGAATTTTGCAGATGAAGGCAAAGACATCTGACATTAAAGTTGAACCGGGAGTTCAAGCAGAGGAATTTGAATCTAAGTTCATTCCAGTTGTCCGGTCCGGAGCATGGGCTGACATAGGGTCTCGTCCAAGCATGGAAGATGTATATGTCTGTGTTGACAATTTTATGCACGATTATGGGCTCAAGAATCGTACTGATATCCCAAGTGCCTTTTATGGGGTATTCTCTTCCACATGTTATTAAAAATTTCCTTACTCGTTGTGCATTTACATTCTAGATCCAAAGTTGTTTAGTTCTTATTCGTTCACTGTATACCTCATCTCTTTAGATGTAGCTTTCTGTGGTAATATCTATAATGAAACATACATATGGTTAGAATGATGATCTACGTGTATTGAACTTGCTAGCTAATCTATCTTCAGCATTTCCCAATTCGACATTCCTATGTTACTGGTTGGTCAGGTGTTTGATGGACATGGAGGAAAGCATGCTGCTGACTTTGCTTGCTTTCATTTGCCAAAGTTCATTATTGAGAATGAAGACTTCCCAAGGGATATTGAAAGGGTTGTCACTTCAGCCTTTCTTCATACTGACACTGCCTTTGAAGAAGCTTGCACCTTGGATGCCACCCTTGCCTCTGGTACCACTGCATTGACCGCTCTT